CAAGAACAATACTTAGAGTTGCTTAACAGCTTCCTCCAAGAAAAATACTACCTCTTGATTAAAAGCTTCAAGGAGAACAATAACAGAGATTATAACTCTGTAACACAATCCAACTCATAACCCGAGTGGATCACAAAAACCAACTCTTCTATAGAGAGACATAATGAAAAATCCCTAATGATTCTACATCTTTGACCCGTACTCTTCTCGGTTACAAACCCTTTTACTTATAACCTTTTTCCAATTGGATTCATGCTTCAAAAATGCAACAGAGAGGCTGCACAAAGTCTGCAAAAAATTTCTCCAAGAAAATAGGTCTTCAATCATAACTTTCCTAAAATGTCTCCATATTTAGAAAGTTTAAATATCTTGAAAAACCAACATAATATCTTTGATTATCAATCTTGGACCCCACATAGGATTACTAAATATTCCCAAATTATTCAGTAATTAAATCACAACAAATGAATCCAGACTGTAAGCTATAGCAGACTTGATGTCCTATACTTATGGTTAGGACATCCCTTTCGACATCTTCAAACAAAAATTTGAAACAACTTTTAAACCACAAAGCTGAAACAGGCAAGATGTCCATACATTTGGCATGTTGAAACTGCAAGTTAAAACATTTTTCAAACTGCAAAACTGTAATAGACCAGATGTCGTATACTTCTGGTTAGGACATCACACTCGACATGTTGAATATGCAAGTTGAAACATCTTGTTTAACATGTTGCTGCAATGTTAGTTCTATCAAAATTCATACCAATCATAAATTCAGAGAAATAACATCATTTTTTAATAATGGACATTATGGTTTGATGCACCCTTTCTTTCCACAATTGTTGCATGGAACGAATGGTGTTGTCTCCTCAATCTTTTCATGTCCTTCCTTTTGCTTCTTCTCATTTTCCATGAATTTCTTGAATTTATTTACTATGAGATCCATGTCACCATCTGAGTAGGATACCTCAGCTTTAAGTGCTAGACTTTTATTTTTCTTTTCTCCTTCTTCATTTATGGAAAATCATTTGAATTGCATTTCTTGTTTTTGCAATTTACCAAAGAGAGAGTGTGTGCCCATAGTCGTCAAATCCTTAGATTCTTAAATCACAGTGACTTTAGGTTTCCAACTTAAATTTACGCATCTAAAATAATCTTTTTAAATAATTCCTCATTTGAGAATATTTTTCCCAGAGTTCTCATATGACTCACGATATGGGTGAATCGTGTTTTCATTTGACTTATGCTCTAGTTAGATTTCATTATGAATATTTCATAGGTTAATATGATCAACCTTGCTCTATTTACCTCAGTAATTCCTTTTTTTTTGGTAATTTGGAGGATGTCGCACATTTCTTTCTCAATTTCACCATGAGAAGTTCACAAAATTCTTTAAGACCTAAAGTAGTAGTGATGACGGTGTTTTCTTTAAAAAAGTGTTTCACATTCTCTTTGTAATCTTTGATCTAATACTTTTTAGGTTGGTATACTACAACACCATTTACTTCTTGTGTAGGGACAAATAAATCTTCTTTCACAACTTTCTAAATACCACAATCCATCCATTCTATGAAAATAGTATTTTCTCTTTCCATAAACTATACCTTTCCATTAAAGGATTTGAGTTTTTTTAGTGAATATCTTAAGGATTAATGTCACTTACTAACCAAGTGACTTCAAGCATAAAGGGGGGGGGGATGAATTGTGGTATTTAAAATTCACGATTACTTTTATACTTTTCTTGATTAAGATCATATTAGTAGTTTCCTAGCAGCGGTAAATATGAAAGTAAAGTAACTAGAAGAAATTAAAAGGACATGGTTATAGAAAATGCACCAGAGATTTATACAGGGTTGGCTGAATGTTGGCCTAGTTCTTTCCCCAAGAGATCTTATTGAGAGGTTGACTATAAAATTCGAGCTTTTAAAGATTATGCCTAGAAACCTTTTATACAATCTGATCTTTTGAGATTTTCATAGGATTATGTCTAACCAGAGATTGCTTTTACCATTGGATAAACTAATGAACCTTCTTAGAGATTTTTCAGTTTGATCTCAATAACCAAAAAAAAAACTTATTTAGCAAAGCTCAATAAACTATAACAAAGATTTTACGACTGGTTTATCTCAAGAACAAAACTCAATCTTCTCAAAAGAATTGCACTCTCAAGAATTAAACAAAAAACACGACTACTCACAAAATGTTCCTCACAAGCAAGGTTTATCTCAAAAACACTATGGCAACTTTAAGTGAAAGAAAAATGTTTCTAGAGAGAGAAAATAGGGAGATGAATTCCAAAAAATGGTAAAGCTTTGGAAATTCGCATGAAATGAAGAGAAGATGAGCCTCCTTTATATCAGAGTTGGAAAAATCAAAAAAGGAAATAATCCATGGGCAGAATTGATGAGACAATCGATTGGCATAACGCTATAATCAATTGACCAAGTCATTTTTAATTGATTATCGTGCCAAAATAGGAAATATTGGATATAGAGTCGTTGCAAGTCATTAAGGTGTTGTCCTAATCACTTGGTTGATTGCTTAAACCTTCTTTAATCGATTGGCTTAATGCTCCAGTATATTGGTTGGCTCAAAAAAAGGTTTGTGAATCAATTGACACAAGTTACCAATTGATTAGTTAGTTCAAAAAATATTTGGAAAGGGATTAGATAACTTCTTAACCACTTGGCTTGGTCTAGAAACAACTTTTAAAATAAAGACTTTTGAAAAATATGTTTTATGGTGTGTGTGTGTGTGAGAGAGAGAGAGAGAGAGAGAGTTTCCATGGTACATAAGAGTTATTCCTTACTTCTACAACACTTGGGTCACTCAAACAGACAGACACGACCAGGTGAGCTTTCACACTTTTTCTGAGGCTACAAAATTATATGGTGTAATTATCTTAAAGATATAAGCCCTTTAATATTTATTCTCTTGTTGATGAGGTATGGGATATTTCTATGGTTATGTCACCATCATCATGGATTAAAGCTATTTCCGTCGAATTTAATATCGTTGTTGTCATCAAAACATCAGATGAATATTCTACGAGATTATCAACTTTATACCTGCAAGCACATAGACCAACATTCTTATAGTAACTAAAAATGTAAAATTGTCGGTTTGGGAACTACTTGTAAGAGGGATAACCCTACTAAAAACAACCGGCAGAAAAAATGATCGAGATGAAATTAATGAAGTCACCATAGAACATTTTTTATCCCTCGGGAAGGGAAAGGTAAGCATTGACTAAACTTGTGAAGGGTGAAATCAAGGTCAAACGACCGAGAGATACGGGTAATGGAGTCTATTACCCAAGGGGAAGGTATTAGCACCCCTCAGGTCAATGGTACTCCATGGGATCCACTCTTGTTGTTCTAATCAAAGGGTGTATTCAAATCTAAAGCTAAAGCCAAGGATACAATGCAAATAGGGAATGCATGCAAAAGAATACACATGAGAAAGAAGGAAATTTTTACAAAGTTTCTCTTGGTTGAGCCCCGTGACCATATTCCTTTGTATCCTTTTTAAGGAATTAGAGCACCGTAGTTTCTTTTTGCTTTGTGTTTTTTATGGATAATGTTGCATTTGCATCCTTACGGTTAGGATTGCAATTCGTGCTTGGCATTGCATCTCGTAAAGAGACTCATGCTCGGCCCCTCGGACACATAGTATTTCCAATTTGTTCGAATTTGAAATAACACATCATTATTGAAAAGGTTTTAAAAGAAAAGGAAAGTCCGAAGACAAAAAGATTTGCATTAGTTGGTGTGTTTTACCTTGAAAGAGGATTTAAGAAGTTTTAAATGTTTTATGCATTTTCCAAAGAAAAAGGTTTTAGTTTTAAGGATGAAAAAGAAAAGAAAAATCTAAGGGAAACTATCCTAAATGTAATCCCTAATGTTATCATACAATGATGGCCCCAAGGTCAAGGATAAAAGGGGAACCTCTAGTTAAGTTAGCATGCATGGTTCACAACCTAATGTCTATCTCGAATCTCCTCCAAAGGTTGAATCAAGAGATCCTAAGGGAATAAGGCAAAGGTTCAAAACCTAAAAAAACACGCACACAAGTGCGATCACACAAAGTCGTAACCAAAATAAGAAAATAAAGCTCGAGGAGTATCCACTCACTCAAGTACCATACCCCTAATCGAGGTATCATGGAACCAAGATAGGATAAGGAGATGTATGCCTAACCACAATATTGTATCATCGAGGTAGGACAAGGGAAGTGAGGCACCTAACCATGATATAAAATCATCAAGGTAGGATAAAGGGATGCTTAGCCAAGACATCAACTCATCAAGGCAAACGAAAACGGGGGAATAATGGTTCTTAACTGTGATATCAAACCGTCAGGGAAATAAGTAAAAGGGTGTCAACTCTTAAACCAAGATATCAAATAATCGAGGCAAGAGAAGAATGAAAAGTAAATCATCATAAGTGACTAAACACCCGACTAAGATATCAAGAACCGAGGTAGGACATAGAAGGCAATAATGAGATCACATTAGAGCGTCAATGTTTCACAAACGCGAGCTGATGACAAAGTGTGAGGGATCGATTACAAATCCCTTTTCCAGCTGACCAACTTGATAACATGAGCATCTCGATTCATAACATCAATGCATGACGCGAGCAACAAACGACACATACAAGAAATGGCGGGGTCGATTGCAAACCCTCTGTTGCCTATGCCTCCTTTTGAGAACTTATCAATAGGGAATGGGAATGGGACGCCTTCATCGAGGTCTTTGGAACAAACATAAACAAACAATCACAAGTAGAATTTCCTTAAACATAAATAAACCAGATTTGCCTTAAAGGGACTCCCTGAACATGGATTTCTAGTCCAACTTCTCATGGCATCAGAAAAGCAGTAAACAAATGCGGAAAAATAAGCAGGAAATGTACCAAATTGATAAGAGTCCGTTATATAGAAAATACAAGCCAAGAAACCCAAGGTCTTTGAGTTAGCTAGCATCAATAAACAAATTAAATCAGATACAACATCCAATGCGACTCCAATATCACAATGAGAACACAAATTATAAGCAAGAGTAATACTCCATGCCAAACCAATTCCCTGCACAATACGAGTCTATAAAACAAGACTACAGTGTTCCGGTACAAGACAAGTCTATACAACATGACTAGAATCCAAGCATCGTAGATCACACGACAATTCCTTTAGAAACTTGCACGAAACCACAAACTTGAGTTAGCAAAAAACAAGGAATATCAATTGCAATTAAAAAATAAACATCATAACTCAAAATGACATAATATCATGCATTCGATAAGATTAAACAAGCATCTGAAACACAAAACCAAATATGGGGCAGCATTACATCACAACAAGAATCGCACGAAATATCGATCCGAAATCAATACAAATTCATGGAAATGTCTAACAAAGACCAATACAAGTGCAATGATTCATAAACCAACAATTAAAACTCATTTGGAGTGCAAGTTAAAAAACTGAGCAGCAACTCACACATATGCAAAACGCACAAGAAATCTCCTAAACTTCGAGTAAACTCGAACACAATCATCAACAAATGAACAACTATGCATAGAAAAACATGAGATGCAAATTATATCGCTAAAAACAAGTAGAAAAAGTGTCCGGGAAGATCCTCCTTCATTTTAAGAATTACACCGAAAAATGCAACGAAATCAAGCCAACTCAACAACAATGTCCAATAATCAACCAATGAAGTGCAAACATGCATCATGTGAATACTAAAACTAAATGTAAATGTTATAAAGAAAACCAGACATCATTGTACTAAAATTTAACGTGCTTGAAAAGTCAAAATGAAGTTAACCGAAATTAACAACAATGCTCCTCAGTTATCTAATTACAACTAGAAACACATGAACCGCAAAATAAAACTCAAACCAAGTGCGTTTCAAAAGTCTAGACAGAACTACGTCTTATGACAAATTCACCCGGAAAATCACATCGGAAATGGTAAAAATCAACATTAATCATCCATAAATGTCTTAACATTATCAATTAAAGCTCAATCAAATTTTAAAAGTGATTTGCGCCTTGTTTACACATTCTGGACAACAACTTATACTTGAACTAATACCGATAAAATTTGTTTTCAACAATTGTAAATGGATGCAAAAACGTGCTTATAGGTTCAAGTAATATTGCTTAAGAATGGTGAACAAGTTACAAATAATGAAATCATACTGGAGATCTTAATTCCAAGCATAAAACATCATTCATGAGTTAATATAACTTTATCGAATCAAAACATTTTCAATGTAAAAAAAAAACCAAATCCATCAACAACATGATGTAAAGTTACATTAACTCATGAAATCAAGCTAAATTCTGATCACCAATTCAGGATTCAACATAATTAAACATAAATGACATAAACAACATCAAAACTCTCAATCAAGATTTATACTGAAATTGCATCAAATACCGGTTCTTGAACAAATGCTTCAAGAATATTCAACTCAAGGATTCAACATCATTTTTCAACATAATTCCATCGGTAACAAAATTCGACATGCAAATTCAATTAAACAACATCAACAAAAATTATTCGATGCTCAAAATCACCGAGTTCGCACAATTAACAACAATTCACAAACATGTAACCAACTCCACATCTCAACATCTTTAAAAAAACAAGAATCAACTTAATTCCAAGAATTCAAATCAATTTTATGTGATAATCAATTTAATGCAAATAAACACCATTCAATTAATCAATTATCTCAAGCAATTAGTAAAATACAAGTGGATTAAATAAGTTACCGAAAATTCGAATCGAAGATGGTGAACTTAGAACTAGAAAACATGTGAAGGAGGGAGGAATATGACGCGAGTTCGTGAAGAAGTGAGGGAGTATGTCGCGTCTTTGCACGACATTTCCAGAGAGAGGAGGAAACCGACCGATTTTCAGGGATGCTAGGCAGAATAGAAGAGAGATCTGTGGTGGCCGGAGCTATTTTGGTGAGAGAGGGAGTGCGACAGCGGTTCAGAAAAAGGAATGAGGAAGGAAGCTTGCGGAATCTTAAGGTGGAAGATGAAGATTTGCTTTGAAGATTTGTGAGTCTGTGTTGATTTTCTTGTTTGAGTTCTTCATGAAGATGAAGAAGAGTTGAGAGAAAAAGAGATAGACTTTTTGTTTTTGATCTTGTGAAATGAAAAATGAGTGTGTAGTTATGTTTGAGATTTGAAATTCAAAATATATAGTTTGGCTCTAAAAGCTAAAATTTGAACTGATACCAAGCGTTGTCAACATAGAACCTTTGAGGAAATGAAAGTCGGAGCAAAATCTCGACACAAGACTTGAAGCAAATCTCTCAATTACGAAATTCTGACACGATGCCAAAAGAATCGTCTCGACACGATAAAAATTGAGCAAGTTATGTCACCCTGAATGACGAGAAATGCAGTGTAAAAATCCACAGTGCAAAATTTTAGAGCTTTATCAGTGTACGGTGCACGAACAAACCACAAGGTCATGCCCCTTGGTGCAAAACCTGGGCTCAAGGCCTGAAGAAAAAATGTCGATGATGAAATTTGTGACGTTGTGCCGAAAGAATCACCCTGATACGATAAAAATTGAACAAAGGATGAATTTTCGAATGGAGAGAAACAATGGACTTATTTCACCGTATTGGAAAATTCAGCTTATTTCTGTACGCACTTTAAGATGGGAGCCATGAATCGAAGTCTTCGGAGAATAATTTGAACTTTGACCCTGAAGCAAAGTTGAAGCTTACAAAATTTGTGAAATCATGCCTCAAGAATCGTCCCGATTCTATAAAAATTGAGAGATTTACAATTTTTATAATACCGAGAAATGATCCGTTAAAAAATAGTTTTGGCATGTAATTTTCTCTAGTAATCCGCACTTTTGGGCATCTTTTGCAAATAATTATCTTCTAAACAAAACATACGGATCAAAGATAAAATCATGACAGATTTTTCACCCAAAAACCACTCATAAACCTCGAACCAGGAAAAAGATATGAAATTTTGAACGTCTAAAAAATAACGGTTCAGCACAATATTTTCACTATTTTTTCATTGTTTAGCTTCAAAGTATTCGCGCATTTAGAGATCTTCCTTAAAGAATTGGATTTCGAGCCAAACATGAAAGTTGGAGGAAATAACAAGACGATTCAAATGATTCAAGAACTACTAAGAGATCATATTCCAGTTAGAAGGTACAAATTTTTAAGCATCCGAAAACCAGAGAAACGGTAAATCCATTGTATAACGCATTTTAGGTATTTTGCACTTTAGAAAATCTTCCTCACAAAATTAGCCTTTGACATGAATAGATGAATTGAAGAATACCTCAAGACGGTTCAAATGACTAAATAATTATTACCAAACCATTTTCTAATCTGAAGTTGTGAATTTCTGAGCTTGAAACGCACTGCACTGAATTCCATCAGCACTATCTCAAATCAAATCGAATGATTGATTTTCTACATAATTCAGAGCGTGTTGAGACACATGAGAACTTTATATGATGATGACATTATTGGTTATTGATTGGATAGCTTGGAACTACATACAGAGTGCAAAAAAATGCAGAAATCCCTGAGTTCTTCTTCACAATGATGTTTAATGGAACAATCAATTTTACAACTTTTTCTTGCAGAGAAATGCCTTGATTACATGATTATAGGACCAATGACATGTACGTATGTATATGATGATGAACTATAATCCAATTATGATTAAAATGAAGAGGGAAAATTTTCGGTTGCAACAATTGCCCCTATTCAATCTTCTTTAACCAGATGGTGAGATTGGTGGATGCCTTTCGAACAATCAAGGTGAAAGAGGATTGAATACTTAATAGAACTGTAAAATTTACACTCTGAAGCCAATCAGGTATTATTATTATTATTTCTTTGGGTTTCCTATATTTTCTATATTTTTTTATTTTTTGGTGAATATGGGTTATCAAGGAAGGAAAAGATCTAGCAAAGAGATCTCTACCAGATACTGAAGAAGGAAGAAATCTAACACAACGATTTCAACCAAAGATATGAAAGAGGGAAGAGACCTAACACATCGGACTCGACCAAAGATATCGAAGATGGAAGAGATCTAACAAAGAGATATCGACTAAAGATATCAAAGAAGGAAGAAATCTAACACAACGATTTCAACCAAAGATATCAAAGAGGGAAGAGACCTAACACAATAGACTCGCCCGAAGATATCAAAGATGGAAGAGCTCTAAAAAATCAATCTCGACCATGGATATCATAAAAGGAAGAAATCTAACACAGTGATTTCAACCAAATTTATTAAAGAGGGAAAGGACCTAACACATCCGACTCTACCGAAGATATCAAATATGGAAGAGAACTAACAAAGAGATATCTACCAGAGATTTCGAAGAAGGAATAAATCTAACACAACGATTTCAACCAAAGATATCTAAGAGGGAAGAGACCTAACACAACAGACTCAACCAAAGATACCGAAGATGGAAGAGATCTAACAAAGCAATCTCGACCAAAGATTTCGAAGAAGGAATAAATCTAACACAACGATTTCAACCAAAGATATCTAAGAGGGAGAGACCTAACACAACAGACTCAACCAAAGATACCGAAGATGGAAGAGATCTAACAAAGAAATCTCGACCAGAGATATCGAGGAAGGAAGAAATATAACACAGTGGTTTAGACCAAAGATATCAAAGAGGGAAGAGACCTAACATATCGATCTCGACCGAAGATATAAAAAATGGAAGAGATTTAACAAAGCGATCTCAACCAGAGATATCGAGGAAGGAATAAATCTAACACAACTATTTCAACCAAAGAATGTTGATCGAAGGCTAACTCGAATATACATGTCTGGTAAGGATATTTGACACATACAAATATGTCGACGATGCATGCTCCATAAACATGTTGATGACTCATCAAGAAAGAGACTGATCAAAACACACTGTAACAAGGAAAGACGCACCTGCCCAACCAAGGAATACTAGCATACTACTAACGAAAGAGCCCGATCAAAACAAAGTCAATCAAGGAATGTTAGATGAGCTAACAGATGAAGAAACCGATTAATACGGATAAACAAAAGATAAGGAACCGACTAAGTATAACCTTCAAAGAGTACCAATCAAAGAAGAACTCAACAACGAAAGGGAGATTACCTATAGATAAACTCTCAAAGAAATAAGACCCATACAAGATGGACTTACTAGGGATACAAATATAATGATCTCAACTAGGGAAATGAGACAAGGATTCTGACCAAAGAAGATTCAAAGAGAATTCCAATCAAATGCGAACTTTACAAGAGAAAGAGACCAGCTGAGGGCGACTCTAACAAGGATTGCCAAAGTTGGACTTTAAGAGGTTGCAAATATGAAAAAATACAATATCCCTCAGGCCAAAGGCGGGGGTGTAAATCTCCAAGAGTGGAAATTATCTGAATTACCACACACCAAGTATGGATACTCAAATACTTGAGAAATAAGAAAGGTTATACACCAACTCTTACTTGAACTCTAACAACAAAGAAAACACAGGTAAAATAATCAAAGAATTGCAGGGGCAAGAACATCCCTTATGAAAAATACGGTAAGGGGACCAACTTACACACGGTAAGCGAAGAAGATAAGGTACATGCGTGAGGCAAAATAACTACAATATCCCTTAGACCAAAGGCGGGGTGTAATTCTTCAAGAGTGGCAATCAGCTAAATTACCACACACCAAGTATGGATAATCAGATACTTGATAAGCAAGAAAGGTTGTACACCGACTCTTACTCACATTCTAATGGCCAAGCACACATGGGTAAAATAAGTGAGGGCTTGCAGGGGCAAGGGAAATTCTACGACTCACTAGGGAAATGGGAATACCAAAGACCCGACTTGTTTCAAACCAAAATAGACTCCACTTGGGAAACAGGATAGGATTACCCTAGAGGCAAGTTGTGGAGGTAATTCATATCTGAGCACGTAATAACTCTGGTCACTTCAGGTAAACATATTTTGCTTATACATCGATGCATGTTTGAAACTTTTTCTTTTATAGATGCAATGCAATGATGCATGCTTAGTGATGCATTTGGAGAAACACGACAATAATCGACTGCTGGGAAGACAAGGAACTTCGAACAACTATCTATGCCCATATTATATTTTGTAGAGAATGGTCGATCTGAACTTCGTTAGGAGATTGCAAATCTGAAACATCATCTTTTAAGGATCGAAATCACCGGGGAAGTAAACTCTTGGGAGGAATACAACAAAAATAAATTACAGTCTAGAGAAAACCATGAACTCTGGTTAAACTTTTACCTTCCTGGGGAACATATCTGTTATCTCTTTCCGGGGATAAAGAGCACCTCGCTGGGAATTGGGATCTTCTTGTGTAGAGTCCTTAATGAAGGTAACTTCGACTAGGGAATCATAGAAACTTTTAAGTAAAATTAATTCTACTCAAACCATACCGGGGACATTACCGTTGGGATCCACATCTTCACTTGGGGAAAATAAATGATACCTTGATCCCAGAAACTTAAGATTCAAAACTCCAGTGGGAAAATCTCCAACAATTATCTATCACTAGGATAAAAGAGCTCTAAATAGAACTCATCTATTATACACCATACTGGAGAAAAAGGATTTTTGTAATATTTTCATCACCACCAAACTTTACTGGGGAAAAGAAAATTTTCTCCGCTAGGGATAAGAGGAAAACTGATCAAAAAAATCCTCGAAACCCGACTTCAACTGGGAAGAAAGCTATATCTTCCACTGGAGATCAGAAAAACTCTTGACAGCAATATAATGGTACAAGCTATACTGAGGAAGATATTTTTGCAAGATTCATGCCAACCAGGAATTATACTAGGGAGAAAAAATTTCTCCATTGGGAATAACAACTGCCTCCATGGGGATACCAACCAGAATCTCCCATAGGTAAACAAAAATATCTTCAAGAAAACCAGACATGAGAAAACTGTATTGGGGAGAAGATACAAAATTCATGGGGAGGACGAATTCCAACTGAACTTGGGAGGAAGATGCCAACTTCACAGGGATATATCAAGAGTATTCGGTCAACAAAATAAAAGGATCCCTCCAAGAAGCCTTGAAATGATCAGACCGAGCTGAGGGAATAAATTGCACACAATCCTATGATGATTGCAACTTTGCCTAAGTAGGGGTGTACACTACAATGAGGATTAAGTGGAGGTGTGCTTTCCCTGGAGATAAATAATTCTGTTTGGGAGAGGGTTTACC